GCCTGCCTTGTGCAAGGCACCCAGTGATGGTATTCCCTCATGCAGCCAGGACAGAATGGGATACACTGTGTGGAGCACACAGCCATAGCCCGCCAGGTGCTATGTGTCCTTGGGGGACACCTAGCTCCCCTGAGGCTGGGGCCTCACCACCTCTCACTACCTCCAGTAGGTCACCAGGTAAAACACAGAATGCCCAGTTAAACTTGAATTCCAGATATAAACAAGTGTTTCTTACCATGTTTCAAATAATGAACGGGATGTACTTAAAGTCATTCATTATTTGTCTGAAATCCCAAGTTAACTGAGCAATCTGTATTTTCATCTGTTGAATCCGCCGACCCCAACCTATGGCTTCTGTTAGCACAATGCAGTGTTCCCTTTCTGCCACTGGAGACTGTGGGGACGCCAAGACGGGCCCCATCTGCCTTCGGTCTTGCTGCTGTCCCTGCCAACCCTGCTTCCCAGTTCCAAAGCCCTCACCTCACTGCTCACTGGGAATGGGTTGTCTTCAGGCCCTATGTGGCTTCCTGCAGGTGACTGGCTACCTCACGTGTGATGTGAGCCAGTCCCCATAGGTGGAGAGGACTTGCCAGGTGAGTGGGCCATACATGACATGGTGACCCCAGGGCTCAGAGAGGAGGAAGGAGTTGTCAGTGGGTGAACATCTCCAGCAAGGTGCCCCAGGGGCAGGAGTAGAGCTGGGGCCTGTGTTTCACCCCTAGCCCCTCTCCCTAGTGATGCTGAGCAGTCTGGGTCCCCCGCACTCCTCTGGGGCTGGGCTCCTGGCTGGTGGCCCCTAGATTCCAGCTACTCACCTCTCAGGAAGGAGGGGTCCAGGGCAGTGAGGTCCAGTGTAGTGCCATGGGGACACATGTCACTGGCCCAGTGGCTGGCCTGCTATGAGCTGGACCCAAGGCTGAATAAACAGAGTTGTTTTGGCAGAACCTGAGACTCAACTGCCGTTGTGGTTCCTGCCTGTGGGTCCAGCAGGGGCCCACTCCTAGTTGGCTTTGGTGTCCTTGCTGTCACCCTCTGGCCACTGTCACCAAGGGGCCATCCCAGCCCACTGCTGTTTTGAAATCAGGCCTAAAGGTCCTCCTTGGTACATAGGCTGGAATCCTCTGCAGGTATTAGACTCCAGGGCAGGTGGCAAGGCTACCTCAGCTCTGGCCTTGACCCTGCCTGGCTGGGATACCTCCATTGATGGGAGCCTCACTCTCTGTCCACACCTGCCCTGGCCCACCTGAAACTACAGGCTGCCCATAGACAGTCAGAGTGCACCAGCTGCCTGTGCTCTTCCCTCAGACCCCAGGACAGAGCAGGAAGCCGGGGGTGCTTTCCTGATGGAGGTCATCTTCCTCAAGCTCAGGCATCTCTGGTAGACAGGCTCAGTGGAACACTGGCCCCCTGCAAGTCCTAAGCTCGTCTTTAATGGAAAATCATCTTGCTGCACCTTGGAAACCCCCAAGCATGGGGCCTGCTGAGTTGGGGGGAGCTGGATAATTGAGGGTGGGGCCAAGCCAGGGGCCTAGAGGCTCACCTAGTCTGTGGGGGTCTGTGGTCCAGAGGGGGCAGGCAGGGAGGACAGGCAGGAGTCAGTGCCTGGAAGAGGGTCTGCTCCAGCTCTGGGAAGCTGTGGGTCTCCACCCACAGGGCCTCAGGAAGGACCTGGGTCTATGGAGGGGGTGGCTGGAGAGGAAGGAAGAGGCCACACAGGCCAGATGGAGGGGCTATGGGGCTACAGTGCATGTGGACGGGGTGCCCTGGAGCAAAGGCTTGGCAGGGTGGGGATGCTGAGGGATCCTCTGAGCCGGACAGGTGCCACAGCCTAACAGGGGTACCCCAGCTTGCTGAGCTAGAGGGGCCCAGGGGCCTGCAAGCCTCCAGTTGACCACTGACAACCAGGTGGAGGGGACTTCTTAGTCTAGAATCCAGCCCCATAACTGCACGAGGAGTCCTTGTGCTGGTGACTGTTGGCTGGACTCCCAGCCATTTGTCCCCCCAACAGCTCTTGTCAAGCAAAAGCTCTACCCTTTGATGGGGGGAAGAAAACAGCAAAAAAGCAGAACTCGCTTTTCCAGAGGCCTGGAGGGTTTAAGACACATCTGAACCTGCTGTACAGTTTGCTTAAACAACTTCAATGCCAAGTTCCACATCGTCCCAGGCTCCAGGACTCCGGCACCCCCCTTGGCCATGTGCAGGCAATACACTTGTGCAGTTTCAAGGCGTCCACACCTCCTGTCCACAATTACCTGTTCTTCATTTCCTCTCTATGGCTAGTGTGTCACATGGAAGTGGTGGCCCCGCTGCAGCGGAGTGAACTTGGGTTTCAGCTGAATCGTCTTTGACCAACAGGTGCTCTTGTGCAGCCAGGGTCCTGGGCACATAGAGTGCCGTACCAGCCCGGAGACACACGAAGCCTGCTAGAGCTTGGTGGCATGGCAGAGGAGAGGGGGCTGGGGGAAGGACTCTTCCCCCCTAGGCCTGAAGTGGTCCTGCTGGTCTGCAGCGGGTGCCTGCTGGCCACAGGCTGTGTCAGATTGCAAATACTTTTTAAAACATGGAAATCCACAACCCTTTTTCTTCTGTAGACAGCTGGGGGGTAGAGTGTGACAAAGGAGGGTGACAGCTGCTGCATTCAGAACACCATACAGCTCCCTGCAGGCGCCATGGAGCCCTGGAGGAATCAGGCTATGCCCTCCACCCTTGCCCAGCCCACACTGAGCCTAGGTGTCCCAGGCTCCCTCTGGGTCCTCCCATTCCCAGCACTCTCCTGCCTGCTACTGGATCTCTGCATTGGGGCCTTCAGTGCTGGAAAGAGCCCTGCTCCTCTTCTGGCCACCCTGCCATCCTCAAGATGGTCTCTCTTGGCCTACATGGCACTTGAACTCGGTGGTAATGTTTTCTTCTGCTGTCCATGCACTTATCTGTGGCCTGCCGACTCAATGGAATTGAAGCTCCCTGGAATAAGGACAGGACCTGTAGTGGTCACCACAACTGTACTTCCAGCTCCACCAGGGCCTGGCACACTGTCCATCCCCAACTAATATTTGTCCACCAGATCACCAACAGCCTCAGCAAGAATCTTGAGCTTCACTCTGACTCTTAATGGAGTTGGGGGGGGGGGTGGCGGGTGTTGAGAAAAAAGCATTCCACGGACCCTAACCAGGGAGCCTGCTTTGGCTTGTGTGTCTGCCCCATTTGAATGAGCTCCCTCCAAGCTGTGTCCAAGGGCCTGAACCTGCCAGGGTCCCTTTCCTTGGTGGCTGGGGCCTTAATTGCTCTTTGAGGGCCTTAATTACCACCAGCAGCCATTCACTGCTAAGTAGTGGCATTAAAATAAAGTAAATGTTTTCCTCCTCTTGAAAAGTTAACATATACAGGAAGAGGTATTGCTGAGCAGCGAGCAGCCTGCATGCTTGGACCTGCACCCTTGGACCTGCACCCCTGCAGCCATGGCTCCTGCCTTCAGGTCCCTCAGCCCACAGGCAAAGCTGCACCCTACCCAGGCCCACCAGAGCTGTCCCTGCACAGCAGTACCTGCTGGAAATCCACTTCTCTGCAGCTCACTCAGCAAATGACATGCCACAGGGCCTGCCAGGGCCTTTCCAAGTCTGGGGTCCCAGGATGGGCCCTGGCCTTCCACCCACACAAGCAGGGGCAGCCTGGAACCCCAATCTTTGGAGAAGAAGGGGAGTCTTCCAGTACCAGGCCTGGGGGTGAGCTGCAGAAAAAGCAAAGGAGTCCCTCTTTGGCTGGAATGTGAGGTAACTCACACCTGAGAGCTTAGGTTTCATGACCCAGGTACTGGTCTTCCTGTGGAAGCAAAGAATCCTTCAGAGACTCGGCCAGGACTGGGGTACCTGAAGTGGGGAGTCAGGAGTCTGAGTATCATCAGCCCTTCTGTCGATGTCCCCCCACCCACATGGGTCTTGCTATCCCTGGCATCTTTAGAGGCCACCTCTTCCCCACCCAGTAATGCACCCAGGGGCCTGGAGCAGAGAGAGGGCCTTTATTGGGCCTGATCGGGAACTTGGTGGATTGGCCCTGGAGGGGGTATCCCAGGAAGCCCTGCTCTTCATGCATTCTTTTTGCGAGACCACTGGAGTGCCTCAGTCCCCACGCGGGAGGGGGATGGGTACAGGGCAAGTTTGCGGAAACTGCTGGTGCATGCGTGTGGGGGGGTAGGAATAGAGCATCCCAGGCGCCCCCATGGACACTTGGCAGCGGGTCAAGCCCCACGACACCCACGCGCGCCAACACACGCTCTCGGGCACACCCAGGACACACGCGGCGGGGGAGGGGCATACATCGCGCGGTCACGGCCACGGCGCACATCCCACGCCTGCCGAGCCCCGCCCCCTCTGCTGACCCTAGCAGTAGGGGAAGGGGCGGTGCGCGAGGCGTGGTAGGGGGGCACCGCCTCCGCGCCCCTGCAGTGGGGGGCGGGGAAGGACGTTGGCGATGCTCCCGGCCCGCCCCCCGTCCGAGCCTCCCCGCGAGCGCCCCCTGGTGCTGCGCGTGACCCGAAGCCGGAGGGTGGGGGACCGCTGGGGGGCGAGGGCGGGGGTCTACCAGCCTCCGCGACCTGGGGCGGGCGAGTGTGGGCCGTGGCGTGGTGGGGGTATGTCGGCGGGCGGGCGTCCCGGGTGGGGGCAGGGCTGGCCCTCCTGGCGTCCCCGCCCAGTACCCGCTGGGCGCCCCCTACCCGCCTCGGCACCGCCCTCAGCCCGCCCCGGCCGCGCTGGCCCCGCCCCGCGGTTGCCCCCGCCCGCCCCGCCCCCCCGCCTGCTGCTCACTCCGAAGTTTCCTTCGCTGAGCGCGGACGGGCTCCGGGCTCGCTCGCCGCTTCACCGGCCCGGCCGCACCCCCGGCCCGCGCCCACCCCGCCGTGCACCCAGCGGCCTTCCGCGCCGGGTCGCCGCCGTCGCCACCACCGGGCGAGCGGGAGCCGGAGCCGGCGCCGGGTGGGCCGGGGGTGCGGGTCAGGGCGGCGGCGCGGGCCGCGGGCGGGAGCCGGGCTGGGTCCGCGGTGACCGCGCCTCCCGGGCGATGCCCGCGGGGACGCCGCCGGCCTCTGGAGCGAGGTGAGACGCGGCGGGGAAGCGCTCTTACTGCGCGCCTGGGACCCTCTCAACTTGGGCGCCTTGGGCGCGGAGCCCTTTGGGCACTCGCCGCCCTTCGCCCGGGCGATGGGGGTGGGGCCGCCAGTCCTCGCGGGAGGGCGGGGGCGGACGAGGGCGGGGGGCGCATTTGTCTCTAATAAGGAAAGACAAAGACATCCCGGCGGCCGCGGCTGTTCCCGCAGCTCCGCTCCGCCCGAGGCGGGGCTGGGGCGTCGTTACGGGGCCCGGGTCACCGCCTGCCCTCCCTCCGCAGGTGCTGCCCGCCGCCACCATGACCGAGGGCGCGCTGGCCGCGGACGAGGTCCGGGTACCCCTGGGCGCGCCGCCCCCGAGCCCTGCAGCGGCGGTAGGGACGTCCCCGGAGAGTCCTGGGGCGCCGGGACGCGAGGCGGAGCGGGGGTCCAGGCCGGTCGCCTCGCCCCCCGAAAGCCCGGCAGCCGAGCGCGGCGCAGAGCTGGGCGCCGACGAAGAGCAGCCTGTCCCGTACCCGGCGCTGGCGGCGACCGTCTTCTTCTGCCTCGGGCAGACCACGCGGCCGCGCAGCTGGTGCCTCCGACTGGTCTGTAACCCATATCCTTCCCGGGCCGGTGGGGCACGGGGGTCTGGGACGCGGGACCCTTTCCGAGTTCGCTCTCGTGCGCCCTGGCTCGTTGGACCTGGTGCGGGCCTGGCGCGTGGGGGCGCAGGGCAGGGGCACGAGAGCCCCGCTCTTCGGAAAGAGATGGCAGTGTGGGGGGTGGGTGTGGGGACGCCTCTGACGATCGCATGGGGTATCACGATTCAGAGCCAAGTCAGAACAGAACTGGAGAGGGTGTAAGAAGGGGTGGCTCTCGGAGGAGAGGTTGCAACTCCTGTGCCCCACTGATGGAGGCAAGGACGGGAATCCCTCTTCTAGGCTTTCTGAACTTCCGGTCTGAGGCGGGAACCTCCTTGGGGAGGGGGAGTCCACAGGGGATGGAGTAAGGGAGCAAAGTTTTCCACCTGCGTCTTGTGCGCTTCTAAGCGCAAGAGACCTGTGGGGGCTGTGCACCGTGCAGGGCTTGTAGCCCGTTCTCCGCGTAGAGAGGCGGTGACGTTGGTTTGAGAACTCGATTTTCCAGGCTGAACTCGGTGCCGGTGCCGGGCTGATTTAAGTCATGCGCAGCTGGGGTTGGGGGCAGGGAGGCAACTAGCACTGCGCACTGGGAACCCCTACTCCCTAGTTCCTTCTCTGGCCCAAGAAGTGACACGGACACAGGCTTTAAAGGAAGGTTCCAGAACAGAGTTGAAATGGGCCAGAGGCAATTCCTGGGATGCAGATGGAGGTTCTGGGGGCCCCCAGCTGGTGGCCTTTAAGGACTGGCTCTAAAAAGAGCCTTGCTCTATGCCTGGTGCTGCCTGATTCTCCTCAGGCGCCTGTGGAGCTGGTCCCCAAGGTGGCTGGCAGTGGATGCTCCTCCTTCCTGCCACTGGCTGCAGGTCGGCGGCCTGCCTTGAGGGAGGGTTGACAGGGTGCTCATAAACTTTCTCCGTCAGAGTCAAGGAGACAGAGGCAAGATGAGCAATGTGTGTGTATGTTTCGCTACCTTGTGTGTTTAACTATATAAATATTAAATACAAAAGAGAAATTTGTACCAAAAAAAGTAATAAAACCGGTGTTTCTTTTGTCAAATCCAAACACTGGTGAGTCGGGTTCGTTTCTGCTTATAAAGGAGACTCTTGGTGGTGGTAGAGACAGCAGGCTGTGGCCTCAGCTGGGCCTGCCTCAGAGGCTGTGCACTGCCTTTGTCTTCTTATGTAGTAGAGGTGGTGGATGGGTGTCCGACCATCCTCTGTGCTGGAGTGGGACAGACCTTACAGGGTGGCTGTAGGTCTTTTGGCTCTACAGAACCCAGATCAAAGGTGATGAGGCAGGAAGGTGGCATAGCTGGGTGTGGCAGTGGGCAACAACAAGGTAGTGCTGGCAGGCCCCAGAACAATGACCATGTTCATCATTCCCAGGCATGTGCCAGCCAGCTAGGGGAAGAAGGCCTGGGCCTGGCCGCCCTGTCCCCTTGCAGTTGAGTGTCTTGAACCTGACACTGACACTGGTTCTGGGCTGGTTGTGTCCCTGAGGACTTCTAGTGAGGTTGTTTGCTTCTAGTTGGTTGTTGTGTGCAGAGAAGGTGGAGTTGGGGTGCTCGTGCAGGTAGAGTGTGCCCTCAAGGGCCGAGGGTTGTGGGGCTGGCAGTGCCTCAGGGGTCCTGTGCCTGGGCCCCTTCCTGGCCTGAGGAGGAGGATGCCCTTATGGCCCCAAGTGGGACTTGGACTTTGCTGGCCTTCTGGAGAGGGCTGGAAGGTGCCAGGGAGCTCAGCTGGGGGAGAGAGCCAACCTGTCCTTACAGGTGGGCCTCTGGTAGCATTGCTGGCTTGGAGTTGCTGTGCCACTCACTCTCCTTGCTGTGGGTACCTAGAAGCAGTTTGACTCTCTTACCCTGAATACTGGTGATGCAGAGTATCTGCAGCCCAAGGGGTGTCACAAGAGGAACCCAGCTCCCAGGACTGTTGTACTCTGGGTCCCCTGGGAGCTCTGCACTTTGGGGTGGGGGTTATGGGGGCCCCAGCCACATGGGGACTGGTGTGACCTCCAGCAGATGCCAGGCCCCTGCATAAGGATGTGCATCCAGGCTTTAGTGAGGTCCTAAAATAAGCCAGCGTGCCTGGACAGGTGGGGTATCAGCTTACTTGGGGAAGCCCATGTGGGCTGAGGCTTTCCATGGCTCTTGAGATTCCTGGGAGCTGGGAGAGGGTGATTTTGTAAGAGGCAGGGGAAGCCATGGGCAGTTGGTGTGGCCAAGTAACTGGAGAGAATTAGTTGCTGGAGGGGCCTGGGATTCCCTGCAGGTGGACCTGGTGTTGGTAGGACCCTTTGTCCTTCCTGTGGAGGGTAAACTCGGAGTCGGAGGTAATCCGATTTGCTCAGGAACCCACACTCCGTGAAGCAGCCTGCAGCTCCCTGGCTGGCGCTCCTAGCGGATGCCCGCTAGCCTAAGCTGGGCTTTGATTGGCTATTAAAATGCATGGAAGGACTTTCTCAGTCCTGGACCTTTCCAGAACCCCCAGATAGATGAGCCCAGCACAAACACGTGTGTTCTTGTCTCACCTTGAGGGTGGCTGCCGTCCATGGCAGAGGAGCCTTCGAGGACAGTTCTTGTCCTTATTGATTTATTTTGCTCTTTAAAAATACAACCGTGCTGGAACTTCTGGGTGAGCACTGTTTCTCCTACACGGCTTATTTATAGATGAAGGTGGGTGGGACCCGTGTGTTGTAGCCTGCTCAGCTGGGTTATGTTCTGCCCCGGCTCCCCCAGGCTCCTGACTTCCAGCCCGCCTGCCTGGCAGCTGCTGGTATCCTGGTTCCTGGCAGACGGGGCCTCCCAGGGTTGCGTAGAGGCTGGGAAGGGGAACTGTGTGAGCAAGGGAGGTGGATTGCTGGTGTGCAGGGCTTGAGGTGGCCAGTGGGCACTTGGGGTAGGGGGCTGGCCAGGTCTTTAGGAGGAACCCCCAGGGCTAGGCACCAAATGCCCTTGTCACTGGGCTCCGAGGGTCTGAAGGACACCCCAAGGTCATTGGCAGCTAAAGGGCAGAGCTAGGTCGAGCCTAGCCTGGCTCAGAAGCCCTTGTGTTGGCATGTCCTTGGCTGGACGGCCTTAAGTTCTTACAACATCTTTTTAAAAATCCATGCTTTCGACTGCCCTATTGCTCCTCAGTGACTGCCAGGGGCTCGGGCAGACTCATGGCCATGTGAGTGTCCCCATTGAGGACATGCAGACACTGGTCTGGAGAAAGCCTGTCCCTGCCCTGTCCTCTGCTGTCTGAGCTCAGAACTGTACTGTGTCAGGACATCCACACTGGTTCTTGGGGCTTCTTTGGTCACTGGAAGTTGCAGGCCCTGGGGACCTGGAGCTGTCCAAGACCCCTGGGCTTGAGCTCTGAGCAGGGATGCCCAGGAGGGTGGGCTCTGCTTCTGGAACCTTGCCTGTCCTTCACAAGTCTCTTTCATGTGTTCCTGGGTCCCAGGCCCAGGGGTTGCTCCTTCCTAGAGCCCTTTCCCCATCCTAGGCACCTCATTCTGGCCTCTGATTCCCTAGATTTTCAAATTGGCCCTACAGGGCAACTTCTCACATCTGCTCACACGTCCTGTGGGCTGGGCACGGCTTCTGTCCCAGTGGATGGCCACCTCTGGTTTCATATCCCACACTCTAGGTGGGAGTGTGGGATATGAAACCAAAGGGGGTCTGGTGTCTGCACTGCTCCTGTTTGCCAAGGGCCCTGGGCCCTCCATGCTGAGGGACAGGCCTCTCTATGGACCCTGGCACATGCCAGGGCTCTCTCAGGAGAGGCCACACACCTGAGCACAATCAGTGCCACTGGCCTTGTAGAGCTAAATGGAGCCTGGGGAGTGTCGGTTCATATTGGGCATGGACCATGCCTGGGTCTACAGGACATGTTCCCGCCTGGGGCTCATCTTGGGGTGGGAGAAGGTGGCCCCACCCTCCACAGGGAACAAGGAGGTGGACTGCAAGGGAGGTGGACTGCTGAGGTGAAAGGCAGGCAGGGCAGACAGCGTGTGGGGACCCCTTGGGAAGCTGGTGGTTCACCCCTCCTAAGACTATTGGAGGAGGCCCCAGGTGGGCGTCTCCCAGGCAGGGGTCCCCTGGACTTTTTCTTGGAGAGTCATTCACCATATCCCGCATGACGTTCCCTCACCACGATGGGCATGATGGCAGCAAAGCCCAGTGAGTCCTGCAAGTGGGACTGCCACATCATACTTGGTCCTCAGCACCCATCAGGGAGGATGGCGAGATGAAGCTGGAGCCCACAGCAGGCCAGGCGCTGGTAGGGACCATCCTCCTCTAGGGCTCTGGGTGGCAGGTGCATCCTTGGTGTATTTGGGAGAGATCTGCTGAAAGACATGCACCTGCTGTGTGGGCTGTGGGGTGGACTGGCCATTCTTGCCCTCCTGGCTACAGCTCCCAGCCTGTGCTGCTGGGCACCTTGTGCAGGTGCCCCAGGTTTCACCTCTGGTAGCACTGGTGGCTCTCCCTGGCCTTGTTCCTGCCTGCTACCAATCACCCCTGGCACTGTGGAATCGGCAGCCCCTTTCTGCTGGTGTCAGGAAGGACAGAGTCCTGGAGCCTGACTGTCGGCCACACTGGGACAGTGGCAGCCCACTCCCCGGACCCCCATGTGCCTCTCCCATTGTTCCCTGAGAGGCCCTTGTGTGTCTGTGAGGAACATGGAGTGGTGGGGAGGGTTCCTGTGAGCACTGGGTTTTGGTGACTCCATCCAGCAGTGGTCTCCTGGCCAAGCCCCCATGATTCCCCACAGCACCCACCCAGATCTGTGGTCCTCTTATTCATGGCAGGTGGGGGCCCTTGGAGAGCAGGGTGAATCAGAGAGGAGGCCAGTGGGGCTGGGGGGCTGGGGAGATTCCGTCCACTGGCAGACACTGGGCCTGTGTGAGGAACCTGGCAGAGCTGAGACAGATGAGGGGTGGCCAAAAGCTTTTGAGGCAGGTGGGCACCACAGGCAGATGGCCTGGACTTGGA